ATATATATATACCTTACAAGCATGGTGAATAATGTGAATAATCCTTGTGGTACATTTGCTGGTACTACCCTAAAATTTGAGGGGTAAAATGATAAGGAAAAGGTTTCTATATTTTCCCTATTGCATAACAGTTATGTACTTTCTCCCATCCAGCCAGCCAATTTAGATCAAGTGTGCAACTGACCGTTCGATTTACATCCGACGCTTAAAAGTGTTTTATTTTTTAGTTTTTTTACAAATTTTGTAAATAGAAAATTTGGTAGGTGCCATCATCTCAATGGGGCATACCTAAAAAAATATTAAAAATAATTTTTGATAAAATATAATAACCAAAATACCCCTTGAAATACGGTTATTTTATTTTCTCGAGAATATTTGTTTTGCCTGTTTTTTACAAGTGCAAGTTTAAGAGAGGAGTGGAAGTCCAAAATTTGGTATTAAATATTTTGCAAAAAAATATTTAAAATAAAATAGTGTAGATACGTGACATTGTGATTGGGGCTATCATAGCCGTTCATTCATAATGAAACAGTTAGATAGGGGCAAGTATATAAGTTTTATGCAGTAGCTGAAGCATAGAAAGCTTGCCCAATATGATAAAATTTTATCTTTTTCCTTGTCTATGTTCAAAAAATCAACTCTACCAAGGTATTTAGATGAGCCAAGTTACTCAGTCGATTCTGAGTAACTCGCCTGAATACAATTATCTCAAAAAATTGACTTGGCCAAGGTAGTAGGCCCTTGAATCCCAACGTAACTCTCCTTGAAGCCAATCGCACTAATGGAATAACTAGTTGCTTATTATATTTGGTCGACCCGGCTAGGTCATGGTTAGGGTTCTTTTGGACCTGAAGGTTTTGGCCCGAGCTAGGTCTAGGTCATGCTTCTTTTGGACCAGCAGGTCTAGGCCTGGCCTAGGTGTAGGTCAAGGTTATTTTAGACTTGGGGTCTAGGGTAGGCCAATCCAACCAGATTCATGATAGGTAATATTTTATTTTTATCTCTAATTATAAAATTTAAAGCTTAAAAAATAATGTAGAATATGCAAATCTATAAACACTTGAAAATCTTAAAATTGGATGGTGCAAATAATGCATTATCTAATACTTGAAATTTTATTTTATTGTACATTCATACATTTCGAGGTTGAGATGATCAATTAGAGGATTGTGAGCATCAAACACCATTTTTTTTTTTATGAATATTTTAGTATAATTTTATTAAAAAATAATAATCTTAAAGCCGATCAGCTTATATGATAGTTTAGGCATTTGGGCATTTGGCCAAGGATCAAAGGATAAACTGTGTGGTGGGTTCTTTTTTGCCTTCTTCCAATGACATTTTTGGTCTTGGAGATTGGGCCAAAAGTGGGTGGTCTCTCAACTATGTTCCGGAGGTAAAGATCATTTGTGAGAATAAAATGGATTTTATGTTTCCCCGAGTCCGAGGTACACATCTTTCTTTGGATCTGTGGAAACCCTTTGATCATTCGTTTTTGCTCAGAGAGTTTGTACATGGGTGAGACTTTTGGGTTTTCCTTTTAATGTGTGGAAACTGTCTGTTATCAAGAGTATTGCTAATAGTTGTTATGAATATTGTGATTTGGATTGGATGTCTTTTGTAGGGGCTGACCGACACTCTGCCATGGTTAAGGATTGGATGGTGTTGGGTCAGCCTCTACCACTATCTGTTAAGCTCCAGGTGGGGAAGGATACTTTTGTTACTAAAGTGGTGGATGATGATGGGTTGGTTCAGTCTTATCCTGGAAAAGAGGTGTTGCTTTCAAAGATCGTGGTGGAGGGATTGAAGATAGGGTTAGTGGAAAAAGTTGTGAAGTCAGGATTGAGCTGTAATAGTGGAAATGCTCAACACATGGAAACTACTCAAAATATGCATGTTGTTGGGAATCTCGATGGCTGTCGCTGGAATCGATGCCGGAGGCAACGCTTCAAAAAGAAGAAGAAGAGTGGCAAGATTTCGAATTTGCTTATTTCAAATTTGAAAAGAAAATGGGTGTCAGTTGATTTTTTCCATATTTTACTGTTGATTATTCTAGAGAGTTGCCATGCATTGAGACTATGGGTGTTAATACTTCGGGAGTGGTACCTGCCTCGAGTCCACCTATCGCGGTAGCTGGTACCATTTCCAGGATGCTTGATGGACAGCTTCTTGGAGAGGAACCAACTGATGTTAAGGGTAAGGCGGTTCCCATGCAAAATTCAATTTTGGATATTATGAAAGCTGGGTTTACAAATTTGGGTGGTCTCGCAAGTTCACCAATTCCAAGGGTTGTTAGTTGTAAATCTAAAGGCTTGAACGACGGTGTTGTTCTGCCAGATGGGATGGGTGGGGATACCATGGAAGGCGACACCTCTTTGCACGTAGCACTTCCTTGAGTCCCAAGGTAAATCTCCATGATGACTTGCCTTTAGAAAGTGATCGTGAGATTTTTGCAGTGGATTTTTTGCATCTGCATTTTTCCAATTTTAACAAGGAGTCTTGTTGGAAGCCGGTAGAGGAGAAAATGTTTTTTGGTAGGAGTCTCATAAAGAAAAGAGTGCTGCTGAATCTGATTCTCAAAGTCTGGGTTATCGTGTGTTTTTTTTTACAAAAGAAAACCATGTATCCCCTGCCTTATCGGTGTGCTGCTATTTAGGGTCAACCTCCCAAGGCTAGAGCGAGGTTTGATCCGCTTGTCATTGACCTTCTTGCTGTTATGGTGGTGGATTCTGATGAAGAGGAGCTGACTTTGCCTTTTGGAGACCAGAAGTTGCTTGCGCAAATTGAGGGGGAGCAGGAAGATGATAGTTTTTTTCACCCAAATATTGTGTTGGCTATTTCTGATGATGTAGACCCTTTGAGAGTTATTCC